ATATGTATCTATCGTGAATGAGGATCTTAATTCACCTTATTCGGTGTATAGATAAAAAATGGCAAGAACTAGAAGCGGAGTTGGAAACGCAAATGAGAACATGAATCAACCACTAGTGATTGAGGAAATACTTGTTGTAGCTGCAGGTGTACAAGCAATGATGCAGGCGATGTGGGATCATCAAATGGAGGAGACCAGGCGGTTGCTTCGACAAAATCATGAAGAACTGTCAATTCAAGTGGAAGAGCCCGAAGTAAATGGAGAGAATTCGGAAGGATGGAACTACAGTGGAACCGTCGGTCAAGGCAACCTACCAATAGTACGTCGAAACAACCAGGATGGAGGAAACGATGGATGTGGATGCAAGTACAAGGATTTCATGGCATCCAAACCACTGTGTCTTTTTGGGAACCCGACACCAGTGCAAGTAATGGACTGGATCTCCGAGATGGAAACAATGTTTGAAAGTTGCGAGTGTAGCAATAGACAGAAGACCGCTCTTGAAATTCCTCAGTTAAAATCTAGATTACTGAGCTGGTGGAAGTTACTGGCTGGTTCGATGCCCAAGGGGGAAGCTAGCAAGATGTCTTGGGAAGAATTTATGGTGCAACTGAAAAAGCAATACTGCTCTGAGCTTTCCAAAGTCAACAATGAGTTTCGGAATCTGAAAAAGGGAAAATTGAGTGTCACTGAATACGCTACAAACTTTACGGAGAAGATGAAGCTTATTGCATACCTAATTCCAACTGAACTTTCCAAAGTCAACAACTTTGCCAATGGATTACCAACGGACTTGGTAAGGCATGTGGAAGATATGGTGGATAACCTATTGACCCATGTTCAAATCCTAGCACCACTCAGCCCTTGTGGCCATGGAGGTTCACCTGCAGTGACTCCAGGGCATGAAGCAAAGCTTTATGTTTGCAGCGGGGGATTAGTCGGTGCGCGAAAGCTGGCCCGGAAACCCTCGTTAGGGAAGTTCCCTTTCCAAAAAAAAAAAAAAGTAAAGACATAGTATAGGGTGAACTTGAATTTTTTTGCAATCGTTTCAAGTTATAATATAAACCTTGGTTTTGATATTTATGGTTTTAATACTTGATGTGTTAAATGATTGTGGGATTTTTGTATAGTGACTTGGTTCGAATGAGAGACAATACTTGGGACGAGTATGAGTAGGTGTGAAAGGTAGTAGATGAATATACTACCAGAAGCACATGACTCACACTTGGATCAAGGAAAGTCACAAGGTTACCAAGAAGCTAGTGATTGGTCTCGTTTTATTCAAGTATATCGTTACCATCGTTTCGGTAATGACTAGTAAGATGGTTGTTATTCCGACCCTAGTGGTCATATCAAATTGAGTCCGACTATGATGAGTTTGTTACGTGAGAATCAAGTTCGATGTAACATCTGACGTAAGTCAGAAGATTGGAATCATTTTATAGGTCCTACTTCGTTGATGATTCCGGGAGATAATCATCCTAAGGGGGTGATAATTGTAATGCCCGTAGATTAGGGTGTCACACCCCGAAACCGATGGCGGAAACGTTCCGGGGGGAGGACGTCATGTAAAGTATCACAACTAATGTACATAGTAAGCATAGTAAACACAAAACATTACATTACATAGAAATATTTACATTTGTTTGAAGGCAAAGTTACACATGATTATATATATATATATATATATATATATATATATATATATATATATATACATCCAAAATTAACAAAAGCAAAGACGAGAGTGCTAATATGCTCCCTCTTCTCCAAAAGATTTGTGGGATGCTTGTCTAATGTTGACCTGAGAATACAAGCAGTTTTAAAAATATCATCATAAAGCTGGTGAGTTCATAAGCAGTTTGTTTCTATAAAAGAACAAGTTTCCTTTGGTTTTGTAAAAGTTGTTATCCAAGAAAATCTCATATTTTCTTATAAGAAAAGTTTAGTTATCCGTTTGTTACACAATGTGGTTAAGAACAGTTCAGTTATCCCAGGAAAAACCCTTATTTTCCTTAAAGTTTGTGATTTATTATCCATACACGAATATCTACTATACTTAACAAAAAATTTGATTTTCGAAACTCTAATTTCACTCAGAGGAGTATATTAATAGACATATTTTCGAAACTCTGATTTTACTCAAAGGAGGATATTAATAGACATATTTTCGAAACTCAGATTTTACTCAGAGGAGGATATTAGATGAAATTTCGAAGCTCTGGTGACATCCAAAGGCGTATATTAGACATATTTTTCAAAGCTCTGGTGACATCCAAAGGCGTATATTACACGTATTTTTCAAAGCTCTGGTGACATCCAAAGGCATATATTAGACGTATTTTTCGAAGCTCTTGTGACACTCAAAGAAGTACTTTAGCTGTATTTTCGAAGCTTTGGTGACATCCAAAGGCGTATAATGTTAGTAATAATCTTGTTTTATGATTAGCATGATTCCTTCGTAAATTATAAAATATAACATAAATTATAACATTTTATAATGAGTTTCGCAATTAGTTTGAAAACTAACTCTGCAAGTCAAATGGTTGGTTAATACAGTTTGTAGTGTTAAAAGCATACGGAATATGAAACATTTTAAATTAAATAATAAGTTTGAGTACAAGATTTCCTTGTACTTTTGCTTATATTCCCCCTGAAAACATTGAAAACATGGGAAAAGGTGTATGGGTATGAACTCACCAGTCGAGAAATGTGCCGATTAGGATGCTAAGTGTCAGTTTGGGGCTTGAATACATGCGAGGTTCCTATGTAATATGAAGAGATACATAATTGTATCTAATTAGACTTTGAACTACTAATTTAATAAGAATATACACTCCGAGGCGCGATAACACTTCATTTCAAATGTTAGGAGTGATCCGGGTAGCATCTAAGGAGGTGTAAGGCCTAGATATGGAGTTTGCTCTTCAAGAGTAAACTCCTAAGGGAGTTTTTGGCCCAATGACCATATCTCCATGATTTTACGGCCGTAAACTCATGGGTGGTGTGTTCTTGGATGCTTAATGGTCTTACAACACTTGTGGAATTAGGGTAGGTTCAGTTCTAAGGCATTGGAAGTGATTAAACCATCAAAGGGAGCATTTTAAGGAGTTCAGGGCTGTAAACTAGGAGTTTACAGCCATAAAATCTTATATGCAGTTTCCTTTTGTGTTTAGGTGATCCTAGGTTAAGCACAAGTGGTTCTAGTCCAAAGTACAAGTCATGGAAGTAAGTTAGGGCACCATTTGACCACTTTAGAGGAGTTTACGCCCCATGAACCATTCCTTGGGGGGGGGGGGGTACGGCTGCAATCTCCTAAGGAGGTGGTTTCTTTCATGTTTAGGGTCCCTAAAACAATGGTGGTTGTTTCTAGACACTATTCCAAGGCATAGGAGGTGTTTAAGGGGCATTTTAACACCTTAAATGGTGTTTACGGCCTTAGAAGGGGTGTTTATGGTCCGAGCATGATCTTGGGCTGTAAACTCATGTTTACTCCTCAATTTATAAGTTTTTGGTGTTCTAAGATCGTACATGTAAGGCCCTAAGTCATAGCTAAGCACCAAAAGTGATTTGGAAGGGTTTTGGGGCTTCAAAACCCCATTTAAGTGTGTTTGTGGTTTAGGGCTGTTCCTGGGCCGTAAAAACATGTCTTTGGTCCTTTTGGATGATTTAGACATGGATTTGAATGTTAATCAAGCTACACTATCAGCTAGGATGGATTACTTACTAAATTGAAGATTGAAATGGGTGTTTTTGGATCAAAACTTGGATTGTAGAGAGAGAGTAGTGAGAGAGAGTGAAAAAGCTTCAAATGAAGTCTACTCACCCTTATATAGTGTTTGAGTTTAAGGCCCGATGGAAATCTACCCAATACTGATGTTTAATGAGGCTTATGGTCGTACCCAATTAAGTTGTCGTAACCCGACGTGGTCGAAACTAAAAAGTTTCCAAATAAGAACGAGGGTGTTTTCACGTGATTTTATTTCGATCCGACGCTTAAGAAAATAAAATAAAAACATTACTTTATTTGCCTAACCCAAAAGTTAATGGAAAATTTTAATAAAAATAAATTTTATTACCGGTAATGGGTTACAGTGATGGAAAAATTTTCGGATTGTCACATTATCCCCCCGTTAGAGGGAATTTCATCCTGAAATTTAGAATTAAGTTACAAATCATGGATTTCGAAAGAGATGTGGAGATTTCTGTTTCATCGATTCTTCGCGCTCCCAAGTGAATTCGGGTCCCCGCTTGGCATTCCAGCGAACCTTGACTATCGAGATACGGCTTTGTTTCGTACGTTTGATCTCTCGATCCATGATTTCGATGGGTTCTTCCACAAAGTTCAAATTTTCGTTGATCTCTATTTCATCAAGAGGGGTCATGAGGATTTCATCGGATAGACACTTTTTAAGATTTGAGACGTGGAAGACATGATGGATGTCGCTAAGTTCTTGAGGTAGTCGGAGTTTGTAGGCTACTGGATCGATCCTAGCGAGGATCTCGAAAGGTCCTATGTACCTCGTGTTAAGTTTTCCGTGCTTTCCAAAGCATATCATGCCTTTCCAGGGCGAGACCTTCAACATGACACGATCTCCTAGCTGGAATTCTAAGGGTTTCCGTATCATCATAACGTTGATTACATGGGCTAGGAATGCGTGTTTGTGAGCTATTAGAGGTATTACACTTGTGGTACTTGCTTTCAAGACTTAGGGTTTGAAGATTTGAGTTGTTATTGCAATATAACAACAAAAGGTATGTAATCTAATCTACTATATGAATTTCGAAAAATACTAGGGCATACTAGGGTTCCTTTATGTGTTCATAATGTTGTGTATCTAATAGTTAAAACATAGATCCAATTCTAGGGTTGCATGCACATATAGGATTGTTTGTACAAAACTCATCATAAACTCCTTAAGTGTTACTGTAGTAACATTTTTCTAGTTGAATGGTTTAAATTTGACTTCATAAAGCCCCCACCACCAGTATTAAGGAGAATGTCTGGTAGGCCAAAGGTCAATAGAATGAGACATGTTAGTCAAAATGAAGGAAAGTTTGGTACAATAAGAGTACAAACCCCAAGAACTATAAGAAAGGATACAAGAATGCAACCAGGGGACCAATTCCTATGCCAACAAAGAAGAACAGAAGGAAAAATAAGGAACAATGTGAACCAACTAAAGCATCAGTTGATACATTTGAGAGGTAAGAACCAACTCATTTTCCAAAGCCACCAAAGAAGATGAGGAAAAAGGTTCAATCTGACCTAAATCAAGCATCAGTTAGAAATATGTTATAAGAAAAAAGAAGTTGGGTATTAGAGGAAGTGGTGGTATTATAGTCGGTAGAGTTGTAGTTAATGAGAAAGTTGGTATTGTAGCAGGTAACATAGATGCTCATGTTGAACGTAAGGTATTTGAGGGGAAAATGAAAGATTTTCTTGACAATAAATATATTAATGATGACAGTTTGATTGAGATGATGTCTAATTATGAAGAGAAAGGCATTGATAATGAAGACCAACAACAAGATTCTACAATGAATGAAGTGGTATTAACCAACTCAGAAGTTTGTGTTAGACAACTAAAGCCTAATGATGAATGTGATGAGGTTGTGGATACAATTAATCAAATTCTACAAGGTATAAATGAAATGGATCAATTTCATGAAGGTAATGATGAAAAATGTAATGAGGATGTTGAACTTGGCATGAATAAAACACTTGATGAGGTTAGAGATGTAATGTATGATATTTTTCAAGGTAATGATGAAAAAAATGAATATGAGAATGAGGATAATCTTGAACTTGAATTCACTAAGGGAAATGCAAGTGATATTCTTCCAAAGATGGTAATGTTGACTCTATAAGGTGTACCATACCTACTTGAGTCGGGATATAACATGATAGAAATAAGGAGCATGAGAGGGCTACAACTTGGAAGTGGATGATATGCCATCAATTAAGATGGTAAGTGTCACTCTATCATTTTCTAAGTTGTAATGACAAGTATAAAACCCTGTATGTCATTTATTAATAAATATTTTTTAATATTTTATTAACAAGATGTAAAAGAAGTTGAGGATCGATATTCAATATGTTGAGGATGGTGTTATAACTGATGGTAAGATGGAGGGAAATGAGGATGATAGTCTTATAAATAATGGTGTGATGGAGGGAAATAAGGGTAATAGTCTTATAAATTGTGGTAAGGGTGATAGTAGTGAGCAACTGCAGTACGAGGCACATATGGAGGGAAATAATGTTGATGATGAAGGGAATATACAACTCAGAAGGACAAAAAAAACCTCGGAAAGGATCATCCTATAAAATCTAAATAAGCCACCTTTGACAAAGATGGAAGGGGTTCCATATCTACCTATCTTGTAGATTTGAAGTAGTTATATATGTATACAGGGGGAAAAGTCAGGATGGTATAGTTGGGCAGTTGTATAGGTAGCCCTTTTTTGTATATCTTTTGATATGCTCCCATTACATGCAACATACATCCATTTGTTTAATGTTATATTGTGGGTTGTCTTTTTTGGATATTTTCATGCTTTTTGGTACATCTTTTGGTATAGAAATGGATAGCTGCTACATGCTAGTGAAACTTATGTAATGGATGACTTTTATTAAGGTTTATAATGGATACCCTCAAATATCATATGATATAGTCTTTTTTATTGTAGGTTCTAAGGCTTTATAGTATGGTATGGTGTTTTATAATTGATTACCATTATTACCCTTACCATTGTATGAGAAGTATATGTTACACATAACCATTAACAATGTACATTCATTAGTGCAATTTATGCATAATATTACATTGAGAATGTGCCCAATTTACCCTAACATTTCATTACTATATAAATAGTAACAATGTACTTTCGTTAGTGCAATTCCTTTTCTGTAAGTTATCCATACATTCCATTCATATAAAGTCTACTTTTCATTATCAATGTAATCAAGTGTACTTCACCCTTAATACACATACCATTAACAAGTAAATAACAATATCTACAAAACAAGTGCAACATATACATGAAAGAGTAATTGATTACCATTAATAAATTCACCATTAATACATTATAAAGAGGTAATAATTCTTGATTACCCTTAATAAATTGCTAATTATACATGAAATAGGTCTTGATTACCCTTCATACATTATCATAAACTGATTGCAAAATAAACAAAATTCCATCTTAATAACCTCTATTGCAAACATAAACAATATAACCACTAGCAATCCTATGATCACTTCTAACTATGGCTTGATCTGCTCTATTTGATACATCTTCCTTTCTCTACCTAGTTCCTCATCTATCGATTTGAAAAAATTACAATTGCATCCTTCCACTTACAAAAACAAAAGTTATAGGAGAAATAACATATGTTTCTCTTTCGAAACTTAAGGCATCCTGAACTACAAAATATATAGGTTTTTAACTGATAATTAAGGCATCCCCAAACTTTTCGGCTTGGGTTATCAAGGGTCCTTGAGACTGATATACCACAAACATCACCACACTTACATCTTATTACCTTCAGGTTCCTCCGTCTTAAACCACCATTGAAGCTTGATCTTGTAGAGGAAGTTGTCATTTTATCGTTAGAGAAGTGAGAAGCTGTGCGACTATGTGACAAGAGTCAATTTCGGGTCAAGTCAAAGTCAAACAAAGTCAGCGAGTCAAACCGATCAACTCAATTAAACCTTGTATATTAGGGTTTACGTTATGTAATTACTGTATAACTCACTATTTTATCGAGAACATATCACTTGGAAAATTCGTGTATTTAATTTTCCGTAGCCTTAGTGCTAAACAATGAACAAAAACGATAAAACAATGTCGCATACTTATCTAGAGGTGTAAGATCCTAAAACATGGCTTAATGGGGTTTACGGAACTTGCATTGCGAAGCCGGACACTCAAAAATGTCACAAACGAAACCTCTCTCAATCGTATTCATTCTATCTCTCCCAAATCTCTCTTCGTATGTGAAATCTCTCCAAGAATGTCAAATCTCTCCCAAATCTCTCCAAGAATGTCTAATCTCTCCCAAATCTCACAAAAATCACTCGGGGCATCCCGGCCCATAATTTGGTCAACAACCGCTTGAAAACGGAAGTCTACGCGAAAAACAGCCTTAAGGAGCCGAAACCCCTCTTAGGGCCAAAAGTCCTCTTAGGGACCGAACCCTCTTGGACCGAACCCAAAGGCTGCAGAACCGAACCTGAAGGGTGCTCTCGGGCCCGAACCTCGCACAAGGAACCGAAGCCACCTTCAGTCCATTTCACTCCGTTTTGCCTCTTACTCCCTTCGCTCCATTTCTCCTTTGGCCCATGATCAGAAGGGATCAAACCTCGGCCAGGACCGAGAGGTCTCGCAGGGAAGCCCATTTCTTCCCGGTTTTCGATTCCGACTTTGTTTTGGATTTGTTTTTCATCGTTTTAACACGGGATTTTCACCCAAAACTTTATTTTATCAATTAAACTCTCATAACTCATTAATTCCCATGTTTTTGGTGCAAATCTTATCCAAAAAATGAGTGGGGTGAAGTACAAAGATTGGGTATTGGCTTTTCTTTGTATTATGACACAAGCAACCACCATACCCATTCGATGACTAGCCCACACTCCTCCCCACCATCCTTAGTCACTTCCTTGTACCTTTCCATCAATCATCAGCCCCTCCCACATTCTAAGAGCTGGAATATATCAACCTCTCTCCTCATTTTCACTCACTTGCTCTCATTTCACCAAAAATCACACACAACTTTTCTCTCAAACTTTTTACTCTAGTTTGAGACTCCAAGGCTGATCATCAATCTTTACTATACTCTTGGTAAGTATAATTCATCCTTCATGTGATTATTACACTTCAACCTACTCAAATCATTGATTGCATACACAAACTCCATCACTTTGATGTTAGATTCTCAAAAATCTTCAAGGCATCTTCAAGTGTTCTTGAGTTGAACATTTCCATTCTTCAACAATCATGTTTTCTTAAGTTTTAAGGGGGTGGGGTGGGGTGGGGGGGATAAAAGTTAAAACACCAAGAACATAACTAAACTTTTCTAACAGCCTTCATCAGAAAAGTTGGACTCCATTCACGGACTGTTTTGGACAAGTTAAACATTTTAGTTTTCAAAACTGTATTAGGTGCAAATATTTCAAGTTCTTAGCTTTAAAATTACTACTTGCACATCTCTATACGATTTTTCTACAATTTATGGTGATTTTTACAAAACTGCCTATCATTTCAAACATCAATCTTGACCAGACTGTGATTATGGACTTGTTCACACAAGTTAGAGGTCATTAAAAATCATGAGAAAAACTATGGAGAAACTAGACTCATTTTCCAAACTCTTAGAATTTTTGGATTATGATTTGGACCTTTGATGATTTTTCTACGGATTTTCTAAGAACAGGGATAGAAAATGTTATCAACAGAAAAATGCTATCAATTTCATTTCACCATGTAACATGTTGAGCAAGGTATATATCTTTATGTGATTATATGTTATTGCAATATATGACAATATTGTCTTAGTATGTAGACATACATCAGCTAACAAATGGATTTTTCTCAAGACAAAGCATAGAAATAACAATTTGTTATAATCAAAGTACTCTATTACATACAAACATTTGAATAAACTATGTTAACTATAGTTTATGTATATTACCACTTTTACCCTTGTTTTGATATACTATAATAGGTATAGTTTATGATACATCACATAACACACTCATACAAAAAGGGTGCATTCATACAAAAAGGAATTTTCCATTACATTACACGTGAATTCGTTAATGGCTTTTATGAGACATTCGCTTCACTTTACCAATAAGTCTTGTATTGTAATCAGAGTCTCCTGGATGGAGAGCGTGATAGTTTTTTATAGATCTATATTGGGATTGACAAACCCACACATGAGCTACTTGCAACAGCTAGACCGACAGGTCTGTGGTGACAAATGTCTTAACAGTTCCGACACCTGAATAACATTGTTTCAGACCAACTTGGTCATAGTAGGGTTATAATAGCTCACATTAAGTATTAAAAAACATAGAATTTATTGGAAATTCATTTAGATCAAACGAGTTTACGTAGATTTAAACTTGCATTATTTCATCATAAGTATAACAAATTTCTTATACACCTCGGTCTTTGGGTTTGAAGACTACTTTTACATATTAAGGAAAATATTGGATTTTTCTGAAACAAACACTACTTTTACAAGAGAAAAGCTTTTCATAAACAGTATACAAATGCTTATGAACTCACCAACCTTTGTGTTGACACTTTTTCAAACAACTTGTATTCTCAGGAAATCACTAAACACGTAACCAAGTGCTTTTGAGGATGAGACATTAAGGCGTTAAGAATTTCATATTTTGTCAACATATTGTAATTGATTTGGAAACATGTAATTCATACAATGATGTAACTTTTTCAATTATATATATGTTTGTTGTGGTTGCTTAAATCACTATTGCTTTTGTGGTTATGATACTATACATGAAGTTCTCCACCCCCGGACGTTTCCGCCATCTTGGTTTGGGGGTGTGACAGATTGGTATCAGAGCACGGTTTATAGTGAATTAAGTATATCAAACAACATAGGATATACAAACTATAAACACATTTGGGACTAAAAGTCTCTGACTTTAAAACATTTTAACGTGTTATACTTTTAGAAAATAAATAGTTTTCTCGTTTAAAAGTATACCTACATGCATTACATACTCGCGTAGTGTCATAACTAGGAGAACATAAAGTAAAAGAAGAGGAGTTGAACCCTACGAGTATGCCTTGGTATGAGTAATTAATTGTGGGAAGGATTTAGCCTGATTAACTATATTTGTCCGAGAAGTGACTTACTCATACCGGGGGATACTCATAGGGGCAACAAATCTAATAACCTAACTTCACTCTACAAAGAATGTTCTAAGAACCAAATCTAAACATTTAAAATACTATAGGAGTATTTGTATCTTGCTATAGCGCAATGTTATTATTGTTAACCATTACCTGCTTCTTACAACCATATTCTTGTGCAGAAGACATGGCAGGATTCCACTTACCAGGAGACCCATACATTCCCATTCTGGGGAATGCTGGCTGGATTGAAGAAGAGCCCGAAGAGCTAATTGAAGAGGACCCCGAAGAGGATCCTGAAGAGGAACCCGAAGAAGAAGCAGAGGAGGTAGACGAAGAAGAAGCAGAGGAAGACGACAATGTAGAGATGGATGAGGACGAAAGTGAAGAAGAACCAGATGAGGAAGTCTTCAACCCTCCTTACATCGCCAGGGT